ACAAGGCTTTAAACATAGCATTTTTTCCAAACTTGGCAGATGACTCATATTCAATAAATAAAAAACATGATACTCCTGTTTTGGAATTTCAAATCATTTTTACTCCTATTTCGGGCAATTTCTAGTTTTCATTCCATTTCCTACTTTTTTCATTTAAACACAACTCACTACACCTTTTACATTACCCCTATTATTTTCCTCTTAAAACTTGTGCCAAACCCTATAGGGACAACTAATGAAGAACCAAAAGAGTAATATATTAGGTTTTATTAGAAGGATATTCCAAAAAAAACTGTTTGTACTATATTTGTGTTTCGAGATTGAAGGGGTACAACTTATTAGCTAGGTTATAGTCACCACTCACCAGATAACGTCATCGATTTAAGGTAGGGCTGGGCGAATCGGTTTACGGTTCGGTTTTTATCGGGTTCGGTTCAATTTCAAGTTGTTCGGTTCGGTTTCAAGTTGTTCGGTTTGGAGAAAAATGTATTTCGGTTTGGTTTCGGTTCGGTTCAGTTTGATGTTCGGTTTATAAAGTTAAAAAAATACTCCCTCAGTCCCAAAATGTATGATACATTTACTTTTGGCACAAGTTTTAATAAAAGTAGAGAAATGGTATCACTGTTCTGTTTTTACCCTTCGGTGGGTACATGCACGGTCATCACTTCCTTATACTCCGTAATTATGGTGTTGCAAAGTTACTTCGTATTCTCCGACGCTCTTCGTCGGTTTGCGCAGCAAAATTCTTTTATTGCAGTTTGCTTTCGTTGCTGATCATGGCGAACGCGGTGAACGAGCTATATGCTCGCTTGAGTTTGGAGGAAGATGATGAGGCGGATGGTGTTGACATAGATGATCTAGTGACGGAGGACGTCCAGACGGCGGCGGCGCTATGCATGGTGGGCAGACTGCTCACCGACAGACTGATCAAATTTCCCTTCTTCCGTGACACCATGGCTGATGTGTGGCGTCCGAGTAAGGGAGCTTATATCCGGGAATTGGACGATCGTAAGTTTCTATTTCAATTCTATGATCATGTTGATTTTGAGCGGGTGTGGGTGGACGGCCCGTGGTGTTTTGAAAACTCTTTGCTCATATTACATAAACTGGCTATGAATGAAAATCTGAAATCTGTTGTGCTTGACCGAGCTCAGTTTTGGATTAAAGCTTATGACTTGCCCTATGAACTCTTCACAGAAAATATTTGTAAGATCATAGGGGACCAAGTAGGCTCTTACATGTCGGCCGATGTGAGCAATTTTACAGGCGGGTGGAAGGACTTTTTACGTATTCGTGTTATACTTGATGTAAACAAACCTCTCAAACGAAAAGTCACGCTCAAGCGGGGAGGGGTACCCGTCCGGGTGGACATTAAGTACGAACGTTTGCCTCACTTTTGCTTTATTTGCGGGTTGATGAACCATGTAGACCGTATGTGTGCTTGGAGATTTCAGTTTGAAGAAGCTGGAAGGGATAAACCCTTTGGTCCTTGGTTACGTGCGGGGTCTAGCAGGATGTCGGTGAATAAGGGGAGCAAATGGCTTGTTAATGGGGAAGGAAAATTTCTGTTCGGGGGACCTTCACTAACAAGTAGCAGTTCAGCAGGAGCTTACGAGGATGAAGCTGAGATCGAAATATTTCATCAGGCCGAGGGGTCTATGACTAAGAAAAGAAAGGCTGCTGGGACGGGGACTATCAAGGAACGGGCAGATGGGCAAGACATGGAGGTTTCTACTTCAAAAAACGGATTAACGGCGGGTTCTGGTTCCCAGGCCCGCCGAGAGCAATGAGTTGTTTAAGTTGGAACTGTCGGGGGCTTGGCAACCCAGCGACAGTTCAAGCTCTTGTGGACGTGGTCCACTTGAAGAGGCCAGCGGTGTTTTTTTTTTATGGAAACTTTTTCTGACATAAATAAAATTGAATGGGTTTTACAGAAAATCGGCATGGACCATTTTTTTGCGGTGGCTAGCGATGGTCATAGAGGCGGTTTGGCTTTGTTTTGGAGAGAGGGCGTGCGGATCCAAATTAATGGATCCTCAAACCACTTCATTGACGTGTATATTAATCTGGAAGACGGGGCGCCTGGTTGGCGTTTCATTGGTTTTTATGGTTGTCCGGAACGATCCAGAAGGAGGGAGTCGTGGAATATTCTTAAATCTCTAAGTCTGGGCCCGGATAAACCGTGGTTAGTGATGGGAGATTTTAATGATCTGATGTTCGCTTCTGAAAAGAGAGGTCGGGTCCCTCATCTCCCTTGGCTTTTAAGGGGCTTCCGGGAAACTGTGTGGGCTAGTGGCTTAAAGAATTTTTCTTTTAGCGGTTATCAATTCACTTGGGAACGCTGGAGAGGATCCCCGAACTGGGTTGAGGAAAAACTTGACAGAATTTTGGTTTCTGAGAACTGGCTCGACATCTTTGGAGAAGCGGTGGCGGAATCCCTTGAAGGGGCTCCCAGTGACCATATGGCTCTTTTTATGAAAATTATCCCTACCCAGAGTTTTCGCCGAAGACGTAATTTTAAGTTTGAGAACGTGTGGCTGAGAGAGGCGGATTGCAGGGAGATAGTGGCTCGCAGTTGGGGCCTTGGACGTGATCTGGGAATCATGGGTCAGGTGGCTACTTGCGGCAAAGCGGTGGGTGAGTGGGGTCACAATAAATCGGGTTCTTATGGTAAGCGTATTGCTTTCTGTAAGAGGCGACTCGCTTTCCTTCGCAGAAGATGGGACCCATGGGGAATTAATGAATTTCATAAAGTGAAGAAGGAATATCTGGACTTGCTTGAAAAGGAAAACATTTTCTGGAGACAAAAGGCTAAGGAATTCTGGTTACAGGGAGGTGACTTGAATACACAGTTTTTTCACAATTCAGTCAAGCATAGACGTCGGAGAAATAAAATGGAGGGGCTTAGACTTGATGATGGCCGGTGGGAAAGTGACAGAGCTGAGTTGAGCAGATCAATTGGGGATTATTTTAATAAAATTTTCACAGCAGGGAGTTGCAGGGCTGATTTTTTGTTTGGATGTGTGCATCGCCGACTGGATGATCAGCTTAATACGGGGCTTCTTGGACCGGTGCGCAGCGAGGAAGTCAAAGGTGCGGTTTTCGATATGTTTCCGGACAAATCTCCGGGTCCGGATGGTATGAGCCCGGGGTTCTATCAACACTTCTGGGATGTAGTGGGACCAGACGTTGTTAATTTTTGCAAAGAGGTCTTTGAGACAGGTAAGCTTCCGGAGCATATTAACCATACTAATATTGTGCTTATCCCTAAAAAAGATAAACCCGAATCTATGAGTGATTGGAGGCCTATTGCCCTGTGCAATGTGATTTATAAAATCTTTTCTAAAATGTTGGCTAATCGTATGAAAAATATTCTTCACTTATGCATTTCTGAACAACAAAGCGCCTTTATTCCAGGGAGATGTATTGTTGATAATATTATGTTGGCTTTTGAGTCAGCATTTTCTGAAATGTAAACGTCAAAGGAAGGTGGGCCTTATTGGGCTAAAACTCGATATGAGCAAGGCCTACGACCGGGTCGAATGGCCTTTTCTGGAAGGAATGATGAGAAATTTGGGCTTTCATGAAAAATGGATTGGGCTTATTATGGAATGTGTTACCTCTGTGTCTTATTCTATCCCTTTTGATGACGAGATGATTGAATTGGCTTTGTCGGGGAGGGGGCTTCGTCAGGGGGATCCTCTTTCGCCTTATCTTTTTTTGTTGGTGGCAGAAGGACTTAGTGCTTTACTTCGCAGATATGAGTCGTTAGGTCGTTTGCATGGAGTTTCTGTTGCTCGGGGTGCTCCTATGATTTCCCATCTATTCTTTGCAGATGACAGTTTACTTTTTTTCAGAGCTTCTCATGACGAGGCATCCTTGGTGAAGGAGGTTCTGGCCGACTATGAAGGCGTGTCAGGCCAGGTTATTAATTTTAATAAATCTAAGGTGTTTTTCAGTTCTAATGTGCCGATGAATATCCGTGAGGGTATGATTGATTTGCTGGGTGTGGGTCTAGCTGGGGAGGATGATAAATATCTGGGGTTACCGGCCTTGGTGGGGCGTAATAGGAAAAACATTCTCAGTTACCTTAGGCAGAGGGTGATAGCCCGCATTAATAAATGGAATAATAAATTTCTATCCAAAGCAGGGAGAGAGGTTGTTTTGAAGGCTATCATTCAGGCTATGCCTACTTATTCTATGAATATTTTTCTTCTGCCGGTTGATCTCTGCCGGGAGATTAAAAATTTGATGAATGGTTATTGGTGGAAAGGTAAGACTGGTAAAGGTATTCACTGGAAGGGATGGGCTGCCCTTTGTGCTCCTAAAAAAGCAGGTTGTAACACCGTCCCCAAATGTATTTACTTTCAAGTAAATGATGTAATAAACCTTATGGAATGATTTACGAATTTACGAAGTTGTAAATTTTTATTATTCTTTCGCGTGAATAGTAAATTGCACGTGGGGCCCACACCGGGAGCGGGGGCCGCCCGACACTCCCGAGACCACATATTTTATTCATCTTGGTCAAGATAATATTTATATAGTGGTGGACATTTCGTTTGAGTCGTGGAAAGGCGCAGAGTTGACCGATTGGGGAAAAAGAGACCCAATTACCGGTACCGACAATTTAACAGATAACAGCCCGAAAATGAATTTCGGAGGCTTATAAATTAAAGTTGGGGAATGTACATTCATTATACATGTCATAATGAGTAAGAGCACATAATATATTTTATTTGAACCGATAAAATAAAATATATTTAAAGCAGTCCGAAAAATACAACTTTCGGGACAAATTGTACACTTCGGGACAAAAAGGGTTGACCTCCCACATGAGTGGGGGCCAACCCACGATTTTTGCCACTCAAATTGAGGGCTGGGTCGGTTGGCATAGAGAGGAGAAACATGGGGGATGGTGATGTGATCCTTTTAGCATCAAACAAAGAGGAGGTGGCCCCATCCACACTCATTTGCTCTATGAGACAAATGAGTATACCTCACCCCTTCCCCTCCCTCATTTTCGGCCAAGGAGAACCAGGGAGAGCAAGAAAATCCACCCAACCTCCTTCCTCCATTGTTGAAGAAAGCTCATCAAAGAGGAATCACCCAAAAAGGAGCTAAAGTGCTAAAAGTGTGAAATAATTAAGGTAATGACCTTATTATAACTTTTTCTTTATTTTTCTTCTACCATATGAGATATATATCATGTGAAGAATCCTTAAGAGGGTTCTACATGTTATAAGTATGAATTAATGGGTTGGAAAGTGATTCTATGTCCAAGAACGGACTTAGAAGCCAAAACGACCGGTTCACCGGAAAATAACCTTTTTGAGGTTATTTGTATTAATATGGGTTTTATGATTATAAAACCTTGTTAGGGACTTGTAAAGGGTATTTCAAGTGATTTCACAAAGTTGGAAAAGTCGCCGGAGTAGTCGCCGGAGTTGACCAAAAGTCGCCGGAGTTTCACCGGAGTTCAACCAAGAAGGGTAAAACTTCAAAACGCTAGCTCAAGTGAGTGGACGGCTTAATATCTTATAACTTTTGGGTTAATTATGAGATTACCTAAATAAATGTTATACGTTTTCCTAATGATGTTTAAAAGATAATTAAACATGTGATTAGCCAACATTATCAAGTTGTATGAAAAGAATTAATTGATTATGCATGAAATATGATATGAGAGATTATATAAAATGCACATTAGCTTGAAGTGTAAAAGAAGCTCAAATGAGTATTATTGACTTAATTATATGATGATTAAGTTGATGTGAACAAGGCTTGAATTGGCGGTCAACGACAACGTTGACCGATGGATGATGGATTAATTAATATCGGTTGATGTTAGTTAATTATACATTTATTTAAATGCATGGCTTTGCATGGATTGTGATACATAAGATTTATGTATTGGATTAGTTATGAGTAACTAAGGATGATATAGACTCTATCTAGGTTGATAGGAGGTTGATCATAGGAAAACTTGGTGGAGGACCCTAGTACTTAAAAAGTACTTAACACTCAAACTTGGTGGAGGACCCTAGTACTTAAAAAGTACTTAACACTCAAACTTGGTGGAGGACCCTAGGACTTAAAGTCCTTAACACTCAAACTTGGTGGAGGACCCTAGTACTTAAAAGTACTTAACACTCAAAACTTGGTGGAGGACCCTAGGACTTAAAGTCCTTAACACTCAAACTCGGTGGAGGACCTTAGTACTTAAAAGTACTTAACACTCAAAACTTGGTGGAGGACCCTAGGACTTAAAAGTCCTTAACACTCAAACTTGGTGGAGGACCCTAGTACTTAAAAGTACTTAACACTCAAACTTGGTGGAGGACCCTAGGACTTATGAGTCCTTAACACTCACAAACCGGTGGAGTATCCAAGGATTATGATCCTAAAACTCATAGATTGTGATATATAAGTAGGGACAAGGAGGAGTCCTATACACTCATAGGTATATGGGTGGGTTGGGGTTTTTAGTCAAGAATATTGACTATTACTATTTTCCCGAATAAAATGGTGATCTACGGGTCGGATATTTTCCAAGTATATATATATACTAATAAGTATTTCATAACTTGGGGGAAAGATTATTTATTTAAGTATCACCCTATGTTTGGGTCTTATACTTGAAACGCTAGTTATTCTATATTTAGCCTGCTACTCGCTCGGTACTTGTACTGACCCCTTCGGGGGGCCCCACCATTTTCAGGTTGAAGCTAGAGCTTGCTACTTGCACCTTCTCACGGGTGATATCAAATCAGGGAGACGTGGTTCGTGCTTCCTTATTTTCTTTCAAACTACCGAACACTTGCTCATGGATATTTGTTTTACTACAAACTATTTTTTGGGGCTTGCATGCCCATGTTGTCGGCCGGTTGTGGCCCATGACTTACCGTTGAATATTTCCGCTATTCTTTGGTTTAATGTGATGTTGTTATGTATGTTTACTACTGAGTATGGATGGATTGTTTTCTCGAACGCCTTGTGTAATTAAGTGAGGTTGACCCGTGGGTGACGTCACTTAGTTATACGGCGGTTGTACACGCGCTTGGATTGCGGTCTGGGGCGTGACAATTAAGTGGTATCAGAGCCATCTCAGTTCTAAACTATATAACCAACCTCTCACAAAAGATTTTGCAAAAGAGTTTTTACCGAAAACCATGAGCATTGTATTTTGACGTTTATAGGACTATTGGTGCTTAAGTTGCAAGGCCTCTAATTGTTAAGACGGTACCCTTAACAATTGGTATGGTAGTGACTTGGACCAATACGTGTCTGTAACGTTCTTCCGTCAGTTGACATTTATAGGAGTCTAATGGCTCATCCATATTTCTTTCAGAAATAGAGGGCAGGCGAATGAGGACCAGGAACAATCCGAGGGGGCAGGCGCCGGTAGTATCCCAAAGGGGAAGCCGGGCTGCATCTCGGGGTTCGAGAGGAGGCCGTGGAGGCCGTGGAAGCCGTGGAGGTCATCAAGCTCAATCTGTGAGTGATGGCCATGTAAGCTCGGTGTATGAAACCAACACCGAGGACTATGACTCAACCTACGTTCCAGAAACGGAGCATGAGGAGACCCCGTATGATGGGGGGGACACATACACCGATGATGACGATGAGAGTGATGCCCGATTCGCCCAGATGGGTGAATTACTTGAGTGGTATCAAAAGGAGAAACTGAGGAGAGACCTTAGGCGCCAAGCGAGGCGTGGCTCTCGTGGTGGTTCGGGTCAAGGAAGCCGGGGAGCTTCCGTGGCCACCCCAGCGGCGTCACAAGGTGGGCGTGAAGGAGGTTTTGTTGTGAGAATCTCCAAGTACCTCAAGGAGGCTAGGGCCTTGGGGTGTAGGTCCTTTGACGGCACCGGTGACATTACCGTTGCCGCCGATTGGATTAAGAAGGTGAAGGATGCATCAAGAGACATGCAAATCACACCGGACGTGAAGTTGACTGTCGCTTCACGGCTACTTGAAGGGATAGCTTCTACGTGGTGGGAGAGCGTGGAAGGGAAGTACCATGGGGAAATAACATGGGCGGACTTTGAGCTAGAGTTCTATGCTCAATACTACTCCGAGTACGAGGTGAATGTGAAACGGAGAGAGTACACTAACCTCAAACAGAAAGAGGGCGGCACAGTTAAGCAACTGGAACAAGAGTTTAGAACCTTGGCTAGGTTCTTGCCGGAGTACGCGGTTGATGAGAACCGCATGACGGAGCACTTTTGGGATGCCCTACTCTTGGACATCCGTGACCGAGCTACGTACTCGCGCCACATGACCTTCAGTGAGGTGGTGGAGCAGGGCCTTCTCGGGGAGGCCCAATGGAATGAGAGAAAAGAGAGAGACGCCGAGGAGGCGAAAAAGAGGAAATGGCAAAGTTCGGGGCCGCCCGAGCAAGCACGAAAGGATAAGCACGGTGGAGGTGGCGGTTCGTTCAAGACACCGGCACCACCGGCAAAGAAGAACAGGGATGCTCGGTGGCATGCATCCTCCTCACAAAGGACGGGGCCTCCAAAGTGTGCCAATTGTTCGAAAAATCATTTTGGGAAGTGCAATGCACCCCCAAGGTGTTATCAATGCGGGAACACGGGCCACATGAAGGCAAATTGCCCACAATTAGGGGGAGGAGGAGTTTCGGGATCCGGAGGAGGAACCATGACGGGAAGAAACCGTGCGGGACCGTCAAACGGCGGTACGGGAAGAGGCGGCGCGTCCACAAGCCATGCCGCGTCCGTAAATCAAGGCGGGACCCAAGCACGAGTGTACGCAATGACCGAGGCGGATGCGCGAGCAAACCCGGACTCCGTTGCAGGTAATACACTTATTTTCCTATATTTCTAGGCTTATTTGGGTCATATGAGTCATTGGGTTTGGGTGCGGGCCACCCCGGGGTCAAACCCCGCGAATTCGGGGCGAAACGGGCTAAAAACAACTACGCGCGATCGCGCGTACCTACAGACGCACGACCGTGCGTGCGAGGCAGTAGCCTCTGGCCGTTTTCCGCGCAGACGCACGCCGTGCGTGCAGGTAAGGCACGCCGTGCGTAGGACGCACGATCGTGCGTGACCAGCTACGCACGATCGTGCGTAGCCGGCAGTGGCGGATTCCGGGTTTCTCACGCACGCACGACCGTGCGTGCCACCCAGGCACGCCGTGCGTGGACCCCAGGCACCCGAAAATTGATTTTTCGCCCCGTTCTTCTACGTTTGGACCCCCGTTTGATTCCAAACATTAGTATGAACCAAATAACATCCTAATGATGTGTAAAAACCTTAGAAAATGTATCTTACATGGTGTACAAATGTAGGAACATTAAAGATCAATGGTAGGTGTGCGAGGATCCTCATCGATACCGGGGCACAACGCTCATTTGTGAGTGAGGCGTTCGCCGAGGGCCTTGACGTGCCATTGACACCTATGACGCAAACATTGCTAGTCTCCACACCGTTAGGAGACGACGTGGAGAGAAATCATTACTATCCGTCGTGCGAGGTGGAAGTGACGGGTCAACCTTTGACTTGTGATTTCGTACCTCTAAGCATGTTGGAGTTCGATGCAATCCTAGGAATGGATTGGCTCGAGAAACACCATGCTCGAGTAGATTGCTACACCAAGGTGTTGGAGCTCGAGGATGATCAAGGAAACACACTATGTTTCGAGGGAGATCGGGGAAAATCTAATGTTTGTATAATATCCGTGATGAGAGCACGGAAGATGATGAGGAAGGGATGCCACGCATACCTTGCCTACGTGGTGGACGATACCAAGAAGGAAGTCGACATCAAAGATGTACGGGTCGTGTGCAAATACCCGGATGTCTTTCCCAAAGACCTACCGGGGCTCCCACCCGATAGAGAGATAGAGTTTGTAATCGAAGTGGAGCCGGGAACCAAACCCATTTCGATTCCCCCTTATCGAATGGCACCGGCCGAACTCCAAGAGTTGAAGGTCCAACTACAAGAATTACTGGACAACGGGTTCATCAGACCCAGTCATTCACCGTGGGGGGCACCCGTACTCTTCGTGAAGAAGAAGGATGGTACACTAAGAATGTGTATTGACTACCGACAGTTGAACAAGGTCACAATCAAGAACAGGTATCCCTTACCGAGGATTGATGACTTGTTTGATCAACTTCGGGGGGCAATAGTGTTCTCAAAGATTGATTTGAGGTCGGGGTATCATCAGTTGAAGATCAAGGAGAGCGACATACCTAAGAGTGCATTCCGCACTAGGTATGGTCATTACGAGTTCCTTGTGATGTCATTTGGTTTAACCAACGCACCAGCAGCATTCATGGACTTGATGAACCGTGTGTTTAGTGAATACTTAGATCAATTTGTGATAGTATTCATTGATGATATCTTGATATATTCCAAGAGCGAGGAGGAGCACGAACATCATTTGAGGCTTATACTTGACCGGCTAAGGGAAAAGCAGCTCTTTGCCAAGTTCTCTAAATGCGAATTTTGGCTTAAGGAGATTGGGTTCCTTGGTCACGTCATATCCGGTTCGGGCGTTGCTGTGGATAACGCCAAGATAAAGGCTATCATGGATTGGGAGAGACCCAAGAATGTGAAAGAGATACGTAGTTTCCTTGGCTTAGCAGGATACTATCGTAAATTTGTTGAAAAATTTTCTGTATTGGCGTCTCCATTAACGAAGCTCACAAAGAAAGGGGCCAAGTTCATATGGGACGACAAGTGTGAGAAAGGGTTCCTTGAACTGAAGAAACGACTTACCGAAGCACCAGTCCTTGCCCTACCCATACAAGGGATAGGGTATGATATATACAGTGATGCTAGCATCCAAGGGCTTGGATGTGTACTGATGCAAAACGGTAAAGTGATTGCCTATGCTTCAAGGCAATTGAGAAAGCACGAGGTGAACTACCCTACCCATGACCTAGAATTGGGGGCGGTAGTGTTTGCACTGAAAATCTGGAGGCATTATCTCTACGGGGAGACATGTCACATTTTTACAGACCATAAGAGCTTGAAGTACGTATTCACTCAGAAAGAGTTGAATATGAGACAGAGGAGATGGATGGAGTTGATCAAGGATTATGACTTGATCATCGATTACCATCCAGGAAAGGCCAACGTCGTGGCCGACGCACTGAGCAGAAAGAGTACGTCGGGGACGCTACTCACATGCCTACAGGCATTGAGGGCGCGCGTGGAGGTGTCCACGTGCGGGGCTCTCATTGCTCGATTCGAGGTTAGGCCCACCCTATTGGGCGAGATTAGTCGAAGTCAGGCCATTGATGAGGAATGTCAGAAAATCCGCGAACGGATCCTTGAGAGGCCCGTCGAGAATTTTCGGGTACGTGATGACGGTCTTTTACTATTTAAGGATCGTGTGTGCATACCAAAGAATGAGGAGCTCCAGAGAGCTATACTTGAGGAGGCTCATTCTTCAGCATATGCCATGCATCCAGGGGGTACTAAGATGTACCGAGATCTGAAGGAAAGTTACTGGTGGTCAGGCATGAAAAAGGATATTGCAGAGTTTGTGAGTCGATGCCTTACTTGCCAGCAAGTTAAGGCAGAGCATCAGCACCCAGCAGGGCTCTTACAACCACTCACCATCCCAGAGTGGAAGTGGGAACATGTGACCATGGACTTCGTGGTGGGGCTGCCACGAACAGTGAACAACTACGATGCAGTATGGGTAGTGGTTGATAGGCTCACCAAGAGTGCACACTTTCTGCCTATCAACATTACTTATCCCCTTGAAAGATTGGCCAAGCTATACACGGAGGAGATCGTGAGATTGCATGGAGTCCCAATATCCATTGTCTCGGATAGGGATCCACGATTCACATCCCGATTTTGGCCAAAGTTTCAAGCATCTTTGGGGACTAAACTGAAGTTTAGCACAGCTTTTCACCCACAGACGGATGGACAGTCCGAGCGGGTGATACAGATTCTGGAAGACATGCTTAGGGCATGTGCTTTGGAGTTCCAAGGAAGTTGGGACAAGCATTTGGCTCTAGTGGAGTTTGCTTATAACAACAGTTATCAAGCAAGTATCGGCATGCCTCCATATGAAGCATTGTATGGGAGGAAATGCAGAACACCGTTGTGTTGGGACGAGGTTGGCGAGGCCAAACTCGAAGGGATAGAACTGGTTGAGATCACCAAGGCCAAGGTAAGGATCATTCGGGATAGACTGAAGGCCGCTCAGGACCGACAGAAGAGTTATGCTGACAAACGGCGGAGACCGTTGGAGTTCGAGGTCGGTGATGAGGTTTTTCTAAGGATTTCTCCTTGGAAGGGCATCATCCGATTTGTATCGAGGGGGAAGCTTAATCCCCGATACATTGGTCCATTTGAAATCCTTGAAAGGATTGGAGCTGTGGCTTATCGTCTCAAGTTGACACCAGAGCTTGAGAAGATACATGACGTGTTTCATGTATCGATGCTCAAGAAGTACATACGAGACCCATCTCATATTCTTGAGAAACCACCGGTAGAGATCCGTGAGGATTTGCAATATGCGGTAGAGCCGGTGAAGATAGTAGGTCAACAAGTGAAGAAGCTTAGGAATAAGGAGATTCCTATGGTAAAGGTTCTTTGGCGGAGTGATCGAGTCGAAGAAGAAACTTGGGAGACCGAAGTCTCAATGAGGGAGCAATACCCGTTTCTTTTCGATTAGACACACGGATTTCGGGGACGAAATCCCAAACAAGGGGGGGTGGACTTGTAACACCGTCCCCAAATGTATTTACTTTCAAGTAAATGATGTAATAAACCTTATGGAATGATTTACGAATTTACGAAGTTGTAAATTTTTATTATTCTTTCGCGTGAATAGTAAATTGCACGTGGGGCCCACACCGGGAGCGGGGGCCGCCCGACACTCCCGAGACCACATATTTTATTCATCTTGGTCAAGATAATATTTATATAGTGGTGGACATTTCGTTTGAGTCGTGGAAAGGCGCAGAGTTGACCGATTGGGGAAAAAGAGACCCAATTACCGGTACCGACAATTTAACAGATAACAGCCCGAAAATGAATTTCGGAGGCTTATAAATTAAAGTTGGGGAATGTACATTCATTATACATGTCATAATGAGTAAGAGCACATAATATATTTTATTTGAACCGATAAAATAAAATATATTTAAAGCAGTCCGAAAAATACAACTTTCGGGACAAATTGTACACTTCGGGACAAAAAGGGTTGACCTCCCACATGAGTGGGGGCCAACCCACGATTTTTGCCACTCAAATTGAGGGCTGGGTCGGTTGGCATAGAGAGGAGAAACATGGGGGATGGTGATGTGATCCTTTTAGCATCAAACAAAGAGGAGGTGGCCCCATCCACACTCATTTGCTCTATGAGACAAATGAGTATACCTCACCCCTTCCCCTCCCTCATTTTCGGCCAAGGAGAACCAGGGAGAGCAAGAAAATCCACCCAACCTCCTTCCTCCATTGTTGAAGAAAGCTCATCAAAGAGGAATCACCCAAAAAGGAGCTAAAGTGCTAAAAGTGTGAAATAATTAAGGTAATGACCTTATTATAACTTTTTCTTTATTTTTCTTCTACCATATGAGATATATATCATGTGAAGAATCCTTAAGAGGGTTCTACATGTTATAAGTATGAATTAATGGGTTGGAAAGTGATTCTATGTCCAAGAACGGACTTAGAAGCCAAAACGACCGGTTCACCGGAAAATAACCTTTTTGAGGTTATTTGTATTAATATGGGTTTTATGATTATAAAACCTTGTTAGGGACTTGTAAAGGGTATTTCAAGTGATTTCACAAAGTTGGAAAAGTCGCCGGAGTAGTCGCCGGAGTTGACCAAAAGTCGCCGGAGTTTCACCGGAGTTCAACCAAGAAGGGTAAAACTTCAAAACGCTAGCTCAAGTGAGTGGACGGCTTAATATCTTATAACTTTTGGGTTAATTATGAGATTACCTAAATAAATGTTATACGTTTTCCTAATGATGTTTAAAAGATAATTAAACATGTGATTAGCCAACATTATCAAGTTGTATGAAAAGAATTAATTGATTATGCATGAAATATGATATGAGAGATTATATAAAATGCACATTAGCTTGAAGTGTAAAAGAAGCTCAAATGAGTATTATTGACTTAATTATATGATGATTAAGTTGATGTGAACAAGGCTTGAATTGGCGGTCAACGACAACGTTGACCGATGGATGATGGATTAATTAATATCGGTTGATGTTAGTTAATTATACATTTATTTAAATGCATGGCTTTGCATGGATTGTGATACATAAGATTTATGTATTGGATTAGTTATGAGTAACTAAGGATGATATAGACTCTATCTAGGTTGATAGGAGGTTGATCACAGGAAAACTTGGTGGAGGACCCTAGTACTTAAAAAGTACTTAACACTCAAACTTGGTGGAGGACCCTAGTACTTAAAAAGTACTTAACACTCAAACTTGGTGGAGGACCCTAGGACTTAAAGTCCTTAACACTCAAACTTGGTGGAGGACCCTAGTACTTAAAAGTACTTAACACTCAAAACTTGGTGGAGGACCCTAGGACTTAAAGTCCTTAACACTCAAACTCGGTGGAGGACCTTAGTACTTAAAAGTACTTAACACTCAAAACTTGGTGGAGGACCCTAGGACTTAAAAGTCCTTAACACTCAAACTTGGTGGAGGACCCTAGTACTTAAAAGTACTTAACACTCAAACTTGGTGGAGGACCCTAGGACTTATGAGTCCTTAACACTCACAAACCGGTGGAGTATCCAAGGATTATGATCCTAAAACTCATAGATTGTGATATATAAGTAGGGACAAGGAGGAGTCCTATACACTCATAGGTATATGGGTGGGTTGGGGTTTTTAGTCAAGAATATTGACTATTACTATTTTCCCGAATAAAATGGTGATCTACGGGTCGGATATTTTCCAAGTATATATATATACTAATAAGTATTTCATAACTTGGGGGAAAGATTATTTATTTAAGTATCACCCTATGTTTGGGTCTTATACTTGAAACGCTAGTTATTCTATATTTAGCCTGCTACTCGCTCGGTACTTGTACTGACCCCTTCGGGGGGCCCCACCATTTTCAGGTTGAAGCTAGAGCTTGCTACTTGCACCTTCTCACGGGTGATATCAAATCAGGGAGACGTGGTTCGTGCTTCCTTATTTTCTTTCAAACTACCGAACACTTGCTCATGGATATTTGTTTTACTACAAACTATTTTTTGGGGCTTGCATGCCCATGTTGTCGGCCGGTTGTGGCCCATGACTTACCGTTGAATATTTCCGCTATTCTTTGGTTTAATGTGATGTTGTTATGTATGTTTACTACTGAGTATGGATGGATTGTTTTCTCGAACGCCTTGTGTAATTAAGTGAGGTTGACCCGTGGGTGACGTCACTTAGTTATACGGCGGTTGTACACGCGCTTGGATTGCGGTCTGGGGCGTGACACAGGTGGTCTGGGATTTAAAAGTCTGCGGGAATTTAACATTGCAATGCTCTCTAAACAGGCTTGGAGGTTATTTACGAGTCCTGACTCCTTAGTAAGTAGAGTTTTTAAAGCTCGTTACTATCCGAAGGGGGGTTTCTTGTCTGCTAAACCGGGCAATAATCCTTCCTTTATTTGGCGGAGTTTACTTCACACTCATGATGTCATTCAGGATGGTTACTATTGGAGAGTGGGTGATGGCCATTCAATAAACATTTGGGAGGAACCTTGGCTTCCGGATAAGGAAAACCCACGGGTTACGTCGGAGAAATATGAGGAATTGCAGGGGGTTGTCGTGGCAAATCTTTTTTCTACAAATCATATGGAATGGGATTTTGACATCATCGATGATATTTTTGGGGAGAGGGACGCGGCAATCATTAAGGGCATCCCGCTGCGGAGAAGCGCTATCGAGGACACCCTCTGTTGGAGATGGGAGGAAAATGGAAAACATTCGGTCCGGAGTTGTTATAGAAGATTGATGGGCGAGCTGGGGGGACTACTGGTCTGGATTGGACTTCTATGTGGGAGTTTCAACTTCCACCTAAAATTAAAATGTTTTTTTGGCAGGTTTGTAGCGGCTGTCTCCCCTCGAGACTAAATTTGCAGGTACGACGAGTGGATTGCTCGGGCAGCTGCGGACTGTGTGGAGAGGCACCAGAGTTGCTGGATCATTTATTTAGACGCTGCACTTTTGCAAAGGAAGCGTGGACAGAGCTTCAGTGGCAATGGAGGTCAATGGAAGATGGCTCTTTCGTGGATCAAGTTTGCGAAGAATTCAGGGAAAAGAAGAAAGAAGATCTTGAGCAACTGGTTTGGGGCTGTTGGGCTTTGTGGAGTGAACGGAATCAAAGGGTGTGGCAGGGAACTACTTCTTCAGCGAGGCAGATTGTTCACCGAACCCGAGTTCTGGTTGAAGGGTGGCGGCAAGCTCAGATGCAAGTGGCTAGGGGAAGACGGGCACACCCGGTTCAGCAGGGGCGCGCAACCTGGAGCAGGTCATTGCAAGGAGCTTGGAAACTGAATGTGGATGCGGGGACTAGAGCAAACAGTTGCGGGTTGGGCTGGTGTCTGAGGGATACAGAGGGACAATTCGTAGCCGGTGTTTCGAAACCATGGCCGGGCAGATTGTCATCACTGGGAGCTGAGCTAGTTGGAATACGGGAAGCACTGAGTTGGTTGAAAGATTTTGGTGACATCGCGGTCGAAGTTGAATCTGATTCAGTGGGGGTGATTTCTGAAATTCTTAATGGCTCGAGTTGCTCGTTGGTGGGGCTGTTAAGAGATGACATTGGAGACTTGGCTAGATTTTTCTCGACTATTTCTTTTAGTCATATTAGGCGGTTAGCGAACAAGCCGGCCCACTTGCTTTCAAAGGCGGCTTGTTCTATGCCTGATTCGCAATCTTGGTTTGATTTTACTCCTTCTTTTCTTGTATCGGCTTTAGCCAACGATTTGATTAATGATAATTAAGTCTATTCCTCTCAAAAAAAAAAAAGTTACTTCGTATTACTCATAATAATTTCGTATGTTTATACTCCTACAGACTATAGTGCGAAAAGAGCATCGGGAATACTCCGTATTTACTTTGGGTTTAATACTCCTGTATATAGTGGGAGCCAATTTTACTCCCCAAGAATTAAACATGGCACACAAGAATGAATTCCGGTGTGTAAAAGGAATATACTGAGTCCATCAATTAATAGCTTTGGGTCCACTAATTAATGATGGCGCAAGAAACAATAGCTTTAAGTATATCAACTAATTAAAGCGACGGGTAATATGTATTACGGCAAGAAGGGCAAGAGGGGAAAAGTAAAAAGTTAATTCGGAAAATTTCATATTTTTGGGACAACCATAAAAGGAAAATGTATCTTACAAAATGGGACGGAGGGAGTAATGTATAATTTCATATTTTTAAGTCAACATTTACTAATTTGAAATGATTTATTTTAGGTTAAATCCAAACCAAATAAACTAAAACAAAGCAATAAAATCAAAATAGAGTTTTTTGATGTTGTGTGTAAAATAGAAATGGTGTACAAGCAATGTGCCAACATAAATAAAATATAAGTAGTGATGTACATGTGGTGCAATGAGAAAAATAGCAATGATTTAAATGGTTAATAAAAGTGGGTGAAGGCTTAGGAGTTTGGACAGTTATGTTTCACTCCAAATCACCAAGTCACTAAACCTACAACCTCCTTAATGTATACATATAATGGACAAACACATTGTCGTATTTCACTGGTACAACCAAACTTACAATCTCCATACTGCACACACATCTGTGTGTGTGTTGTTTGGTGTTCGATTCAGTTTACGATTTTTCCGTTTTAAACCAAACTATTCGGTTCAGTTCGGTTCGGTTTAATACGGTTTGAAAGAAATAGTACCAAACTTAAACCAAATTGCATACGGTTCAGTTTCGATTCGGTTTAGTTCGGTTTGGTACAGTTCGGTTCGGTTAAACCAAACCGTTATGCCCACCCCTAATTTAAGGAGTGTTTGCAGTTGCTTAAAAAACGCTTTTCAGCTTTTGGCTTAAAAAAGTTGAAAAGAGTGTTTTCAAATGACAGCTTCTGCTTAAATTAATAACTTAAAAGCTAAAATCTGGAAGCAGGTGCAAGAGTGTTTTAAACTGCTTTTCACTTTTTTTCTTACACAAAAAGCATTTATTTTATCAAACACCACCAACTTTTACTTTTTCAGAATCACTTTTTCCTCAAATATTATCAACTTTTACTATTAAGTACTTTCTCCAAAATCACTTTAAAAAATAGTTTTTTAAAGTTGAAGCAATCACAAACAATCCCTTAATAACTTACGGCCAATAGCGTATTGACAACCGTCGTATCATATTAGTGAGCGATTAAGGTGCCGTTGTAAGTAGCCCTCCAATCAAATATTCCCAATTCAAATCAAACTTTAATAGAGCAGATCAAATTAAATCAGATCAAACTTCAAAAATTATAAAATATACATAAAACAGATATTTACTATATTCATATTATACTAGACTAGGTTTAAACAGGTAAGATTAGACAGAAAATTTCAGTCCATTTAAAAACATCTTTTATTAATGTCATTTATAATTTCCAACTTCCAAGTTTCCTTGTGCTAATTATTTGTCCATGAGAAATGCTAGAGGTACACACTTTGTGTACACATTTTGTGTACACTCGTCTGTCTCTTAAGAAAATTTTGTCTGTCACAGACAACTCATATATGAATTGTCTGTGACAGACAAAATTTTCTTAAGATACAGACGAGTGTACACAAAGTGTGTACCTCAAACATTTTTGATTTGTCCATATCATCATGTCAAAGTTTCCAGAATTTAAAATGTTAAATACAATACCCATACGTGTGGCCCGTCATTCATACATGTCGGTACGATCCTAGTAAGGAGATCGAGAGCGACAATCACTGGCGGTATTCTGGCTCTTCTCTAAATTAAAATTTGGTCCCCAAATTTGAAGATAGAGTAATCGTTTAAGATGAAATTTGATGAAATTTGGTCCCTAAATTAAATCGGTTTCATCATATAAAATTAAGATTTTAAATCGATGAAATTTGACTACATTGAGACTATAAAATACACAAAAAAACAGATTTGTAAATCAGACACAAATAGAATTTTTACATGAAAATTGACCACAACGTATATGGTTCATTACCAATGGGCTGTCCGTTTACAGTTCTAAAAAACGTAGTACTTCTATAGTTTATACTTCATAGTTTATTATATATTGTTGTTCCAAAAGGTTGATTCTCCCACCCCAGGAGCCCCACACCCCAAACCAACAGAATGGTGGGGAAATAAATCACAGTGACTCAATCGGTCCAATGGTGGTAAGCCTTATACCCGTGTGCACGAGCAGTGGCGTATTCACTATGGGGGCAGCGGGGGCAGCTGCCCCCACTCAACTCCAACCCAATCCCTATATATATGTCCAAATGTTTACAAGAAAATGCTCAAAAATAAGAGTTAAATGTAGAAAAAAAATTCTAAATTAGGATTAAAAGTGTTTTCTTTAATATTAAAAGAATGAAACGATAAAAAATTCACTAAATTTTGTTATGTTTAACTTATATTTAGGTGATTTTATTACATTTTATCTGCAATTACATCTTCTTTTTATTAAAAAAGAAGATGTAATAATGTGATTTGTTATTTGTGAAATATGAGACTAAATTGTAGTCAAGTTTGCCCCCACTCGCCAAATTTCCTGGATACGCCACTATGCACGAGAGGTACAGCTCAACACGCAGGAGCTGTCACCTCCACACGACCACTGCGGGTTTCGAACCTTGGTCATTCTTCCAAATTTCGCACCACTGAACCAACTGAGCTACATGTGAGGATAAACAATTTATTATAGTTTATTATACATACAAGATGAAAGTGATCTTGAGGCGGGCGGGGCATTTAGATCGGCGAGTCCAAAACTAACTAGTGCCCCTACCTCGAACAAGTTAAATGTGACAAATAATGATAATAAGTATTAAACTTTATTTTCAGTGTAGTTAATTATTCTATCCGTTCCATAGAAATTTTACGCACTTACCTTTTTAGATCTCTCGAAAAATCTTTTCATTTCCTTTGTTGAAAGTTTTGTATGTGTGACTAACATTTATTTACTTATTTCTGTCACAATCACAACCATATATATAATGTGATTCACTTCATATCGGGAGCTGGGAATTATAATTATGTAGTTTATGTATTATGATCTTCTCTGAAGCCTCTAACATATTTGACTATGTAATATTAGGAGCTAATATGATGTTTAGCATATGGATTAGCATAGGTGATTACTCGATCTAGCTCAATTAGGATCTAATATTAGGAGCAGTAATTTTTACTTTTTATATAGTTATATCTTCCGCAAATTCGATCAGCTGATTCAACAAATTTGAATGGTATCAAAATGGCTCTACATGTGAAAAATTTGACTAGCTAGCTAGATACTTTAGTGTATTGCAAATGGTGAACCAATTGTATCGAACTTCGTACGACAGTATATAGGATCATAACTTTAATTTGAACTTATTGTTCCGTTATATCACGTACACATACATAACCAAATTAAAGTACAAATACACTTAACTCGAACGAAGTAAATAACATCAACTATAAGCTTAACTGTTAGCCCTAAATTATGATAGATTTTGATGATGCCTTAGTTTTGATATCTTCCATCTTTTGTAGCATTCAGATGTTATGTCTTCTAGCAACTATCTACAAGTGTTCTGCTCAAATTAAACAATTAACAAATAAATATAACTGGAAAACAGTCATCTATGATAAGGTAATACTTTATTACCTTAAGAGGCATCCCTTACAGTTTCTACCAGTTAAATTTATTTGTTACATCAAATGACACAAAAGTGTTTCGAACAACTAAACTAATTAGTTAACTGGAATACAAAATGCAATAAGGTAATAATTTTTGCCTTAATAGGATATGTTATCCTACCAGTTAAAAGTATTTAGTTTATGTGTTTGAAATACGTGATCAGCCATGCACAACCAAATTACAAAAGAAAAAAAAAATGTTTGTATGAAGCAAATTATACCGGAAAAATAAAAATGCAATAAGGTAATTTTTGCCTTAAAGGATATTTAAATCCTACCGGTATATATTTACTTTATCACAAACATTTTAAATCGTCACAAAAACAAAAGACACATAGGTACAAAATATACATGTGTCTGATTAAGAACAAATAAATGTATAATTTTTAAGACCAATAAAATTATTACTGGAAATTAAAAATGCAATAAGGTAAAATTATTTACCTTAATAGGATATTTAAATCCTACCAGTATAAATTTCATTGATCTTAAAAATTTATTGTTCAAGTGTTTGTCTCGTGATTATCCAAGACGTACAGCATGGGATGCACAGTCAAAGCTACAGTAGCTAGGCAAACAAGACAAAAATTACCCATCAGCTCTGAAGAAGAAAATAAACAACAAGTTGTTTATCTTCTGCGATCAAGATTCGACGTTCATGATTAAATCATCTTAACCAACGGATGACATTAATCAACCTGAAATGCCTATAAATAAAGGCCGAAGCATGAGTTCAAGAATCAAGTCATTGAGTTCAAAGCAAAGAGATTCCATAATCACAAAGTATATCTAGCAAAAGAGAAAGTGCTTGATCACAACCTCACTCTCTGCTTTGACTCATGCTTCACTAAGCTCTTAGACTAGTTCTTCACTTTCATATTTATAGAGCTTAGTTTTTAGTTGGTGGCTAGAACTTTCTTGTATTATTCAAGTGGTTGTAAACACTTAGGAGAACAGTTGTTCGGATCCTAAAGTGTAGTTAGATAGATAGAGTACCTTTTGATCCCCACTGGATCAATTGAGAAAAGTCTAAGGACTGAGTAACTTTGAGTGGTGTTATACTCATTGTGAAAAACCTTCAATCTAGACCTAAGAGTTGTAAAGGCTAGATT